TTAATCCCTTTCGCACTTCCCCGGTCTCGGCAAAGCAATGCAAACTCCTCCTGCCACTCGTGGTCGCTGCCGCTGAAGCCAGTCTGCTCTGCGAACGGCCGCATGTCTGCGGCTGTGAGATACCCTTTGCATGTCTTGTCCAAAGAACTGAAGACAGCCTCGATCAAGTCTCGTCTTGGATCCTGCAAGACAAGATCTGACTGATAAAATGTGTTACGTATCATCTGCTAGGAGAAGCAGATCACATCAATCCCGTGATGGCCTGAGGGGCCTGAGACTGACCTGGAGCTCGAGAAACTGCTGGAGCTCGATGGTGTGCCTTCCAACAGACTCGAGAGCCGGCCCCATCGTTGCGCAGGTCTCAAAATCATGTGACAGGATGGTGCTGCAACCGTCCTGCACCACCTGTCGCATCGCTAGTTGTAAGTGGCAGACGCCTGATCCAGAAGAATCTTGAGAAGTCCGTGAGAACTTACTTGCGAGTCCTCTCTCCCGTCCTTCTCGCGGTCTTCCCACTCTCTATTATTTCTTTCTGTGTTGTTTTCTGGCAGTCGGGCCGGCGCCATTCATCGAGCCCGAAATGGCCGTCAGCTGCTCGGCATCGTTCCTGAAAGGTTGCATGGTCACCGCATGGCCTACATGTCCTCGGGCACCTGATTTTCGTCTCAGAGCCCCGCAGCTCACGACCCATGTGCAGCAGCCGCTGCGAGGCTGTTGCAAGGCCAAGCATCTTCCTTTTGGCCATGGTCTACGGGCGGTTACGCAAAAAGTACCTGGAGACCTGATGAATCTTGGGGCCCTGGCTCCAGGCGAGTCTTCACCTCGCCTGCCTTGAGATGGGAACGATACCCTCTTCCGAGGCTTCATTTTTTGGTGTTGGCGAAATTTTCTGAATTCAGCGCTCCACCGTCTCCTCAAGATCCACCTCTAAGAAATGCTCAGCACCTGCCAGAGCAAGCCTAAAGCAGGCTGAGCCAGCAGAGTGCCAGCAGAGTGCCTTGTGCAGTAGATATTTTGAGCTTCACCAAAGCTGTGTGGCGCGGACCAAAAGCAGCAGTTGGGTTCAGGACGGGTGCCTGACAAGAGAAAAAATACAGAAGGGAAAGCACATACAGAGACAAAGGCGGCAACGCTGACGGACTTTGAAAACGACTGCAGGCGCGCCGTTGCATCGGGTTTTTGCTGTGCCAACTGCGCTCTTTCGGCCTGAGACAACCAGGAGCGAACCGGTAACCTCTGTCAATCTGTCACGACATGCGTCAGAAAAGCCGTCACGGTCGCGCCGTTGCCACGAATGAGGGACAACTTGGGGCCACTGCCCAGGTCAGACCGTTGCTGTCCGACCTCGAAACGCAGCACTAGAAGCAGACATCGCTGCTCATGTCCAGCTCGTTTAGGCCGAGCTCGCGCCGAGGCTCATGCAAGGGTGACGGCCGCGGCGCCGCTCCGAAGTCTGCTGCAAAGTTGGGGGCCCGCTGCTCCTGTGCTGTGGCAGTGCTTGGATATACTGTGGAACCCCATTTGTTCGCTTTGGAGCCTGGGAACGCCGGTTCCGGAGGATGTCTGCTAGGCTGGACGGGGCCGCGGTGCCCAAAGCTGGCTGCTGCGCACCTTGGCAACCAAGTCAGACACGGGAGTTCGGCCATCACCCTCTGCCCGGGCCGCCCGGGGCTGGTGCCCGTCTGCGCGACAACCTGAGACTTGCAGCAAGGCTCACCGCAGGCCACGCCAGCATATGCGATCATAGCTGACTCTAGGACGTAGCTGATGTTGAGAGGCTTGTTCTGCCGTTTCCCTGACTCACAGGATGCTTCGGATGCATCTTCTAATCATCTTGCGACCCTGGCCGTGCCTTTCTGTTTCGTTTTCTGAGTCGGATTCGGCTGGCTCAACATGCCCTGCGCATCCTCCTCCTCTTGCAGCATCTGCCTATGCAATGCTGCCGGTCTTCTTCGCTGGCTATGCGAGATATTGCCAAGGCTTTGGCGCGAGAAGCAGGTCTGCCGCCAGCGTATCTTCCGTCTGTGCTACTGGCCCACGCCCTGGCAGTGCCAAGGATCCGAGGTAGCATGGCTCTGGCTGCAGCACTGGCCGTGCCTTTCTGCGTTCTCTCAGATGGTTTCGGTTTCGGTTGGCTCAACATGCCCTGCGCGTCTTCCTCCTCTTGCAACTTCTGCCTCAGCTATGCTAAATACCGATCAGGCAGGCTACTTGCCTCGGGCTCTGGCGCCAACAGCAGGTCTGCAGCCAATCTATCTTCCGTGTGCGGCAGTGGCCTGTGCTGGAAGGCGTGCTGTACCCAGCCCCCACGAGCGATGCTTCGACTGATTTCGGCTGGAGATGCGCCTGGCTGACCGGGAAGAGCGAGCCTGCCGTGGCCGATTCACCGGCCCAGGGGTCATGATTGGGGGGTTTCGGGCCAGAGCGAACTCCAGCGCAGTGCGATTTAGAACAAGCCAAAGGTGTATCCAACGTGTTGTGTTGGATCCCTAATGGTGTCTTCTTAGGCATCCAGGTCTGAGGTGGCAGCGGCTTTGCTATCGAATTGTGGAATGTTCTGGTATTCTCCTGGCAGGAAGGTATCGCCGAGCACATCCTGTTTCATCTCTGGCCCTCCTTCGGGCTCGGCCACATTCTCTTTGCCTTTGCCAACCGTTTGAGGGCCCCCCATCGTCTGCGCAGTCTTCGCTACATAGTGCATCGTCAACAGCCCTGCAAGGGCTCCAGCTTTTCAACTTCCATGTTAAGCGCCAGGGTCATAACGAGTATTCAGCCGTACGCCGCAGGATCGTTTTCACGTGTCCAAACCTTTCCTCTTGTGTCTGTCAACTCCAGACTTCTGTCTGGACCCAGGACAATCCACGAACTTCGGCAAACAAAGGGCACCCAAGAGTGTGAACGGTATTGCTGATTTCTTTGGCAAATCTGGAAAGGGCCAGGCAGGAGCACTCGAGAACTAATCTGCGCAATGGACTGCCAAGCAGTGGTCACATGCGACTGTGTTGTCTGTGATGGACCTTTCAGCGAGCTTGCGCTATGTTTCTTCCGACATCGTTCGGATGGCGGGCGGCCAACCTGCGACGTCCAATTCGTGAAGAGCAACTTTTGACCATGAAGTCCCGTCTGAAGCAAACAATAATTCGCATAGTCCAGCATTGCCCGCACGACTTCAAGCACAGCCCGACAAAACAACAAACAGCCAGTTTTGCAGCGCTGCTGTTCGTGACAAAAGCTGAGACGTGGAATCAAGCTGCCTAAGGGCTATACAATCTCCGTCCAGCAGCTGGGATCTATGGAGCCCCCGCTTGCTTGCAGCGGCTGACCTGTATCGTGTCATGAAATCTAGGCCATGCCATGTAATTCGAGTTGTGGACTTGGCACTCAGCTGGGATGAGCTACTTAAAAAGGCTTTCGGCGGCGGGACGGACTCCGACGCCTCGCGGCCAAGCCAAGCCACGGACGTGCAGACTCTGAACGGCATGCAGGAAAGCGGCGCCGTCGACCACTACTTCATCCATAAGCAGCGGCACCGGCGGCCCGAGGTTTTCAGAATCGACACGGACTCGGAGAGCGAGCCCCGCCCCGCAAGGAGGCCGAGGCAGCAGCAAGTGAGCCCCTTCGGGCTGAAGCCCGGACAGCAGCTCACGGGGCCGACAGCTGGAAGGCCCCAGGCTGCGGGGCCCGATGGCTCAGCCGTCCTTCGATGCTCTTCGACAGGCGAGCGAACCTGAAGTTGCATAGTGTATGTAAAGGATGGAGCAAGTGACACAAGCTGTGACCGACGAGCTTGTGGCCTCGCTCGAGTAGAAGCCGGCCACAGGCAACACCAAATGCATGCAGAGCCGCATTTCAATCCATTCCTTTCCAAGCTCGCTGAGCACCTTCACGCCCGCCACCTCAAAAGTCTGCCGCATCCCGATCACGCCGGGAATGGACTTCGTGCTTCATCGAGCGTGTGCAGCTCTTCGCCAACGGGCAGCGCGTGGAGGGCATCTCTTAGTACTACATATTACCATGTACAGTCTGCTGAAGAACAGCGACTGGTGGGTGGGTCCTCAGATCGAGGGCCTCCCCGTGGACGCGGGGAGTTCGCGGAGCCCGAACGGGCCATGCTGGCCGGGGTAGCTTCGAACCATTTCGAGAGTTGCCTCTCGAATTAGAAAAGGAATGCGGATCGAGCGCTGGTGGGATCAAAAAGACAGAACCACTTTGCTGAGCAATATGTCGCGCAGCAGGAGATCGGGCTTCTTGTCCAGACGCTGCCTGCATAGCTGGCCAAAACACGTAATCCGTGTGTGTTGGAAACTCGGAACCCTTGTCTCTTGCTAAGACAGCGAGGGCTTGAAGCATCTCTGGCCAGCTTGTGAGCTCGACAGCGAGGAGGGCTCCTTTGCTGTGCACCTCATCTCCAAGCAGCGCAATTGACTAGTCTCGCTGTCGCTCCCTTCAGGGTGGCAGCGCGACTTGTGCGAGGATGGAGACGTTCACCCCCATCCTGGTCCTCTCCGTGTCGTGAGCCTCAATGCTCAGGACAGAAAGAAACACGTGGGACCGTGGGACTTTATCAACTCAGCGGGCAACAGCGTTTTCGTCGCTATTCACGAAGTACAGATGACGGATGCTCAGCTCTGCTCCTTCGAGCGCAAGTGCCGTGAACAAGGCTGTTCGGGTTGGGCAGCCCCTGCTGCGAGTGACCGGGGCCCGCAAGCTCATGATACCATTCTGACGTGACCAGCTCCAGTCTGGTCAGGATGGTAGGTTCATAGCACAGCGAAGGTGCAAGGAGGCGTTTTCCTGACACTGCATGCCAAACCGTGGGTACTCAGTGCCGATAGATATGACATGGAATTGGTCTCGGTCATCGCCAGCTTGGACGCGGAAGATGCCTGGGCTGCGCTGGGAGACTACACTGCTTGTTCTCTGCAGTTCCTGCTTCATGAAGGCGGAGCCACCACAAAGGCTTTGTCTACCGCGGGCCACTGGGTTCCTGCTCGTTGGGAAAACAACCGGGCCATCGACCACCTGGTCTCTAACATCCCGCAGTTTTTCACGGGGCAAAATCATTGGGAGGAGAAGTACGGCGATCACAAGGTGGTCGGATTTTCCTATCGTGGAAATGAAGGATGTGAGTGCATGAAGACTTTCTTTGCCACTTCGGTATCTGCGGTCGCGCAGTGGGGATGGTGGTTGCGTGAGCCTAGGAAAGAACTCCAAAAGTTTGCCAAAATCATGCGAATAGGCCTCAGTACTACTTGGTCCAAGTACTTGCAACAAAAATTCCTGGGCCACAGAATGGACGGTTTCTTTGCTACTGGTTTCCATGCTTGGGCGATGCTAAAGGCCGCTTTCCAAGCTGGTTATGTGCAACGGTGGGAGCGCAGAAAAAGCACAGGCACCTGGATCAACCGGGTGCATCGCTGGCTCTCAAAGTTGAGTCGGAGAGAGGTCTCTCCGTGGCGATGGCGACATTCGGACCTTGAGGAAATTTTCTGGAGCAGCAGCGGGCAAGGAACGAGCCTGCAAGACCATGCCCTCAGAGAATCATGGAGACAGCAATGCTTCAATGATTCCGTGGCCCGGGAAAGAAGAGATTCATCGGAAGCTGTTGCTCATGCGAGAGTTCTCAAAAAGGCCGCCCTGGCCACGCCCCCCCCCCCCCCCCCCCACACAGAAAATATCCGAACCGAACCTGAACCCCAACCGGAACGTAGTAGTAGTAGTAGTAGTGGTCGTAGTTCTCGTAGTCGTAGTAGTAGTCGTAGAAGTAGTCGTAGAGTAGCAAGCAGGCAGTCGTGGTCGTCTGCCCGCACA